GATCTGTTCGGACGAACTGCAAGTCCGAAACGTCACCTGAAACAGACAAAAATAGAATAGGCAAACAGCAGCACACATAAGTAAATAAATAAATAAATAAATAAATAAATGAATGACTGCTGCCTCAAATCTGTACCTACGGCCTGTCCAATGGCCGTGGGCCTCCAGGTCGCGTGCTTGGAACAGGTGCGCGGCCTAGGGGCTCTCAACAACCGTCAGGCCCGAAAATGGGCCCGTGTGTCAGGCTCAGCATGTAACACGACGTGACATACTGGCGAGAGCATTGTCCACGTGGCATACTGGCGATAGCATTGCGTACGTGGCATACTGAAGAGAGAACTGCTGCGGTTGTGGAAGATGGGCCGACGAGGAACCAAAAGAACAGCGGGATGATGTGTCCCGACAAGTGCTGGGATGAGCTAGGCCTTTGATTGACACTGGACTGGACTTACCTCGTTGATGTATTGGTTGATGCTGACGTGGACTTACCTGTGTGGGTTTCTGATGTTGTCTGACCTGTGGACTGACTGTTCATGATTCTTGATTGCACAGCCAGAAGGAACCCACACCCACATTGGTAGTCAGTATCAAAAGCAGCAAAGCACATTGAAATTAATAATAGATCAGGACCTTGATATTGTTATTGGATTTCATTTATTTTCTTTCTGTTGTTTTGAATTTCTGACGAGACCGCGGAACAGATAATTGAATAGTCTGATTGTGCAGTAACTCCCAGGATGACATCCATGTGGAAAAGCCTGCGGCTGTCTGGTCTGACAAAATATATTCCCTTGTTTTTCTATCCTGTCTCACCGATGTTGTACGCCGACGAAGAACTGCATACATGGGGGCAAGTGAATGCCTGCAAGGACCAAGAAAGCTGAAATTGCAGCAGGCCCTGACTGAAATTCATGAGGCTGGCCCGGAAGCAGAAGCCCATGTCCGGAGCCAGTCCTTCACAGTTTCGAGGAACAATTGGACCAGGCTGCGACGGGAGTCGACCTCCTCCGTGTGGCAGGAGAAATGAACCTGCTTACAGGTAGGGCCCGTCACAGTCCGGACCAATTTGTCGCTGAAATGCTCACGAGGACTATTCGAGAAGAAGACAAAACGAAGGAAGGAGAAACAAGCGGGGAAAACAAACAGGAATTAAATGAAGATGGAAGAAGCATTGCAGGCAGAAAAGAAGAAGAAGAAATCCATAGATTCCAAAAGAGAGAAGAAAGAAGAAGAAGAAAGAAAAATGGATGAAATCCGAAGCAAAGTACAAGTGGAAGAAGGAAGTGTCATTGCGACTCTTATTCAGAACTAGATGACCTGTTGCAGCTTCGCTCGCAAAAACAAATATGATGGGTGATGCATTCATGGTGTAGGCAAATGACCAATGCAATCTCTCTCTCTCTCTCTCTCTCTCTCTCTCTCTCTCTCTCTCTCTCTCTCTCTCTCTCTCTCCCACATGCACGGCTGCTGATCTTTCGGGAGCCTATCACTCTCTGTTCCCTCCCCTCTCTCTCTCACATAAGACTGCCTCTCTCTCTCTCTCACACACACACACAAAAAATAAAACAGAAAAAATGGAAAAACCTGAGTACGGACGCYGCCCTGCCGGGCGGGGCCGGGTGGGCCGCCCGGGCAAACCGGGCGGGCAAAAAAACAGCCCCATAATTTTTATTTTTATTTTTTTTTGAAGGCGGGGTCCTCCTGTGCTCGGCGAGAGGCCCCCGAATCTGCAATAAAATTCTGGTTTGGGGGGGG